CTTGAAGGTGTTCCAGAAGGCTCATCTGCTTTTGACTTTCAGACTTATTTTTTTCATACTTCTTTTTCATGTCTTCTGATGTCTGCCAGACTTTCCTTGTTTTCTGCACATATTTCCAATCTCCCTTCACATGATCTGATGCACGACACTTCCCGGTGCAAGAAGTGCATTTGCCTCCGCTCATGACATAACAGTGTCCAGGATACCAGGCCCATGTGCAATCCAAGTGACAGTTCTCCTGACAGTTTGTACAGCAGAGGGTACCATTAAAAAACACCCCACCCCACCACCCAGTTTTTATATATTCTTTCTCTTTGTAAAACTGCAGAACTTCGACAGAGAAATTTTCATTGTTTTGCATCTCTTCTTTATGTTTCGCTAACTCTTCTTGTCTCTGTCTGGCTTCGGTTTGCTTGAGTTCAACTTCATTTATTCTCTCTTTCAAGTTTTCTATACAGGCGTTCAGTTTTATGCGGTCACATAACACTTTAGTTGTTACCAACAACTTTTCAGGTGCAGTTTTTCCTAGAAAAGCTGTGAGCTCATCCATTCCTCTCTCTGTTATTCTCCATGCTGTCTCCAAACAAGATTCATTTTTTTCTGTTCTCTCTTTGCTCTGTTGGTTATTAAAGAGGAAGTGAACAGGCTCATTATTTCCATTTCTTGGACATTCAATTTTTGCAATTTCGAGAGCTTCGAGAGCATTTTCAGGTGTTACTCCATCTGAGTGTGTGATGAGAGCAACAATGCTTTTCTCCAGATCTTTTCCAAACAAAGACACCACTGAATCAAAGATGTACCTCTGTCGGTCACTCAGTCGATTCTCACTTGCCTTCATCACCAGACCCACTGCATGAATTTTGTTAACTCCATCCTCTGATTGAAACAAGTCTAATAGTCTTTGACTGATGCTTTCATCCCTTTTAGTATTTGTGGTGTCTCCAAATCCAGGAGTATCAATGATGGTCAGAGAGTAGGTCAGAGAGTAGGGCAGAGATTTATTTTCAAAACCAAAGATGTCATACACGATCACATCTGATGTCTGACTTTCTGTCTGACTTCTCTTCTCCTCATCTATAATCTGAAACCAGACTCCATCCTCAAACTGAACCCCCATAGTGAAGTTGACTAGAGCGTTGATCAAAGTAGATTTTCCTGCTCCCGTTTCACCCACAAGTAAGATGGTTTTATTTGGCTTGTTTGG